ACAGGGATTGACATTACGCAAGATGCGATCGACTTAGCTAGCCAGAAAAGGTAGAAAAGTAATGTTAGCCATCCTTTCTGCTTCACCCATCTTTTTGGTCCAGAAAAGAAAATGGTGAGCAGTTTGATAATTTGTCATTCATCCAAATGGATGCTTCTAAAATGGATGCTGACTGGACCTGCAAGTTCGACTTGGTCACGATCTTTGACGCTTGTCATGACCAAATGCGACCAGATCTGGTAAGCTATCACACATACGAATAGATTTGAACGCTGTTCTTCCAGTGCTTGAAAGAAATTTACCGTATACTCAAGAATGAGGGAATGTTTGCCATGTTAGAGGTAAGTAATGCTCTGCTATAAGCATCTCATTTGAGCACTAACTCTGACTTGTCGTGACTTTAAGGTTGATGGAACCTCGAACATTTACAAAGATAAAGAGCAGATGGGACTATCCGCTGCCTCCGGTTATGCTGATTCGTTATTCAATTGCCTACCGATAGGAAGCAACTCGGAAGGTCACCTCATTTTTGGAAATTTCGCTTCCATGACATGCTGCTAGCAGAAAAAAACTATGTCAAAAAGAGGACTGCCCTTGCAAACTCATCCAGTTTTTTTCAGATGCACTGGGACTCGGCGCAATGTGGGGCAGAGAGCGAGCAATGAAAATGTTGAACGAGGTTGGATTTGCTGATGTCAGCATCGTGCCCGCTCCATTCTTCAGACACCAAGTCTTGTATGTCTGCAAGAAGTGTTGAACCGTCTCTCTGAAAGTACCACAAATAAATGGAGTTTCCCATAAATTATAGCAGATTCAACTGTTTAAAATCCGATCATAGAATGACATTCAGTGCAGGAGAGGAGATATAGGGTTGTCATCTTGTCATCGTCATCATCATCATCTATGTCATCATCAAGATGACAGACCTATATCCTCTCCTTTGCAATGTGACTGCAATATAGGGTGTCATTTTTGGAATTTTTGGAATATACGGGATTGCCAAGATTTGCCGAATTTGCGATTTTGCTTGGGATGTGCCGATTTTCCATAACCATTCTAGAACAGATATATTTGCAACCTGGGCTAAGTTTGCAATTTGATGAGGAGTCGTCAATTTACTGCACTCTTGCAATTCGTACTAACAATAAGTTGGATCTGATGGGACCTACCTTTTTTCCGTAGCACCATTTTCGTAAGGCC